TTGGTTGCTAGTGAAGTTGATGGACATTTGGGGGGGGGGGGGGTTAGGATGTTAGAGCTTTCAACTAGACAACCATTCTAAAAGGCTATAAGGTTATGGAAGGTTAGTTTTAACGTGTTAAAAATGTATTGGATATTTTAACCATCCACGGAGACTAACGTTTTACTGATATTAATCCTAACCATTAATTTAAGCAACCACTAACTATAGCCTGCCAATGACCATATTCTGATATTCGACATTAACAATTGACATACTGACTACACCATCCTGACGTTGACTTAAGCCTTATATTCTTTAATTCCCCTCTCTTATCACTTCCAATACATCCAAATATCCAATCACTTCCCACTCATTTTCACCCCACATTAGCCCCCACACCTTCAACTAATACCTCAACCCACACTAACCCCACACCTTTATAATTTAATCCCTCAAACCCACACTAACCCCACACCTATCACTATTCCCCAACCAACACTAAATCTCACCTTAGTCTAACTTCTTTCATATCCACATGCACCACCCCTCCCCCCACCACCCTCCCCCCTACCGGTATGCACATGATGTATCCCACCAACCTTACCAGCACCAACACAATGTTCACCAGGCAACCAGCATCACAACCAGCACCACAACCCAACAAACAACCCCCCCCCCAGCTCACACGAATATTTACTTTGTCTCGCTAACCCCAGATTAGTATTACATTTATCGATCACTGGCTTTACGATTTAGGCTGATTGGTTAGGGTTAAAATTATTCACGTAATCGAACGATGTAGCTGTATGCTAACTCAATGAAATTAAACAGTACAGTTGTTTTTTCTTTAGGCAAAATTGCAAAACTATAAAGTTATACCCCTTTAAATCGATTTTTTACGTTATATTAAAAAATATTAATTTCCATATGATAAAAAATATATAATTTTTTTTTCGAAACACAGACTTTTTCTCAGACTAATGTTCGATCTTTTATAACTACCATCATGTTCAATATATCATAACCAATATACCGATCAATAGTTTTTTGTGTGTATTATAACCAGCTCAATAGTATGTGTAGAGGGGCATTCAGTATTTTAATATGTATTATAAACTTATGACAAACTATGCGCTCAACACATTACAGACTTTCCGTTCCGCTACATATCTCTGATGTTAACACAATACGACAAATGTGAATGTAGACCACTCCAACTCATCATTTCCTGACCCCCTCCCGACCCCATCTTCATACCTACACTCTAACGCCGCCCCCCCCCCCCACACACACACCAACGTTTGGACCTCCCTCTCTCTATCTTCTTGATCCCCTACTTGACCCACACAAAAACGCTACATACACATTCCCGGTTCATCCTGGATTCGAACTCCTATCACATGAGTTACGCCCAAGCAAACTCTAGCAAATCGATTACATGAAGTGTGATGTAATATTTGCCTAAATTCAGTATTGATTTATGACAGGCCGCTCCCCCCCCCCCATAGATCATTGTCTTTTAGCGTCAGTCAAAGGGGAACAACTATATGGCAGGTAAATTTGTTTGGAATACTTGGGGTTACATCCCCTAGTCCACGATAATCTTGCAAGTTATTATAAACATTAAAAAACTCCGGTACTTAAGACGATGGGAGTGCACAGTATAAATAGAACCTGCTTAAATAGAAAACAAAAATTTTCTATATCATATCCAGTGTTTCTTCCAGATTTTTTTCTCCGGGGACTTGATATTTTCGGGGGGGGGGGGGGGGGGGGGGCGGACACTAGTAAAAAGTGTATGTTTACTATATAAATTCCATCTCGTTCGGGGGGGGGGGGGGCAGTAGACTTTCTTCGGGGTGGCTCCGCCCCCCCCCCCCCCCCCCCCCGAAGAGATGCCTGGAAGAAACTCTGATCAAATCCCATATATTCATATCCCATTAGCTAGACCCTGTTTAAATTTAATCATAACCCTAATCATAAACTTTAAAAAAAATACCCATACAATATAATGTATTGCCCTATCGCTATGTTTTTCTAAGTACAGAAACTCTTAAGTCTTTAACATCTACGATCACCAACCCGCAAACTTGAGATCTGTTTGTTAACCAATGGCTATTCACACAATACAACTTTTATAATTATAACACAAAACCGTTATAAAATGTAACACTTATATAAAAATGTTTACAGTGTATTGTGCATTTATTTCAAATCTTGAATGTATATACAGGCGTATGCTACTACATCAAATGTTTGGTTGTGTACGTTAACAGATAACAGTTCAACAAACATACACATACAGATAACAACAAACATGATAACAGGCCCATATAGGACCTTCATCAAAGTGGGAGTACAATCATGGAGGCAGGGGTATATCATACGTGAATTTTTAAAAAAAAAAGCGTGATTTAAAATTTAATAATATAATAATTAACATAGTAGGTCACGCAGTGGCGTAGGCAAGAGGGGGGGGGGGGGGGGGTTAGGGGGGTTAAAATCCCTCCCATGGACTCACACCCCTATATATATATGTATATATATATATATATATATGTATATATATATATATATATATGTATATATATATATATATATATATATATATATTTATATATATATATATATATATATATATATATATATATATATGATTTTATACATATGGAAAAATATTTGAACCCCTCACATGACCAATTCCTGGCTACGCCACTGAGGTCACGTATAAACTTCTTAAATATTAAAATATTTGCATAACATATTTTGATTAGTAGGATGGTTTGTCTATCTCTTGAGAGTAGACACCAAATCACACAATGCCCTATTTGGAATAAAAATAGCATACTGCATGCACCGCCAAAATAGAAATGGTCTATAGTAATGGCTTTATCGCCGAAGTCCCATAAGTCCTAATTGTTAATAATATGTTGTTTATTGATTTATTTTATTTGAATAAAAAAAATGTCCCAGTTTGTTAGAAAATGTCAAACTATTCTTTTCAACTGTACGTAGTAATCTACAGTGAATAGACTTACAGAAAAAAAAAATTCTTTGTTCTAGGGGAGTTAACTCTTAAATAACTGATTTTAGTAAGATTTCCTTGAATGTTTTCATACTTTTGAAAATTAGACAAGGCACATGACTTTTTGTATGTTTTTAAAAATATTTGTGATATCAAACTGACTCTTATTGTATTTTAACGCATTAGTAGTTATTTCTATGGAGTCTTATTTGTTTTCAGAAACTGTAGATGACTGGAGCAAATCCTTCTTTTAAATTAGACCGCCTTCCTTAACATTTTGTAGTGAACATACATCATAACAAGCGTTAGGTATTAAATTACCGTATGCGTTTTAATAGATTCAGCTAAATTTATTTCATCCTTTACATTACAAACAGGTACATGAATTTCAAGTTGGTTTATACTATGTTTTATATACAAAAAGGATCATCATACATTTTCCCCTTAATTATTTCATATTTAAAATATAAATGTAAATTATGGTGACCGGAAAGATATGCAACTGAAAACTGCGGAGAATAAAGTAAGCATGGACACCTTTTTATACATACATCGAGCAATTATAGACATTAACATTTGTATTTCCGCAATTTCCTGTTAGCGCATTTTTCAATTGCGAATTTTCCGTTTGCGCATTTTTTTTTTTCTGGGGACCATTTATATGTAGGCTATATAATGTATCAGACTAGCAAGCAAAATTTTTCTAGCATAGATATACTTTTCCTAAAATTGATTAATACATCTGTCGTTAAAGTCAAATAGAATAATAAACACGCTATCATCCATTTTGTCTTAAGCTGATGCATAAAGAATAGGAAAATAAAAGTAAAATGGTGCAAAACAGAGTTTCTTCCAGGCATCTCTTCGGCCCCCCCCCGAATTTTTTTTTACCGCCCCCCCCCCCCGAACGAAATGAAATTTATATAATTTATATAGAAAATATATACTTTTAACAGTGTCCGCCCCTCCGAAGAAAGTTTACCGCCCCCCCCCCCCCCCCCGAAAATTTCAACCTCCCCCCCCCCCCCCCGGAGAAAAAAAGTCTGGAAGAAACACTGGTGCAAAATTACCGAGCAGGCTAGGTGATTAGGTAAGGTGGTTGATAGGTTGTTGGTAGGGGGTTGGTATATGGTTTGGTAGGTTGTTGGGTATGGGTTGGTATATGGTTGGGTAAAGGGGATGGTGTATGGTTTGGTACGTAGTTGGGAAGGGGGTTGTTATATGGTTTGGTAGGTTGTTTGTAAAGGGTTGGTATATGGTTTGGTAAGGGGGTTGGTATATGGTTTGGTAAGGGGTTTGTGTATGGTTTGCACGTAGTTGGTAAGGGGGTTGGAATGTGGTTTGGTTAGGGGGCTGGTATATGGTTTGGTAAGATGGTTGGTATATGGTTGGGTAAGGGGGCGTGTGTATGGTTTTGGTACGTATTTGGTAAGGGTTTATGGTTTGGTAGGTTGCTGGTAAAAGGTTGTTATATGGTTGGGTAAGGGGGTTTGTGCATGGTTTGGTACGCAGTTGGTAAGGGGTTTGGAATGTGGTTTGGTAAGGTGGTTGGTACAAGGTTTGGTAAGGGGGTTTGTGTATGGTTTTGGTACGTATTTCGTAAGGGGGTTGGTTTATGGTTTGGAAGGTTGCTGGTAAAGGGTTGGTATATGGTTGGGTAAGGGGGTTTGTGTATGGTTTTGGTACGTATTTCGTAAGGGGGTTGGTTTATGGTTTGGTAAGGGGTTTGTCTATGGTTTGGTAAGGGGGTTTGTCTATGGTTTGGTAAGTAGTTGGTAAGGGGGTTGGAATGTGGTTTGGTTAGGGGGCTGGTATATGGTTTAGTAAGGTGGTTGGTATATGGTTTGGTAGGTTGTTGGGTAAGGGTTGGTATATGGTTTGGTAAGGGGGTTGGTATATGGTTTGGTATGGGGTTTGTCTATGGTTTGGTAAGTAGTTGGTAAGGGGGTTGGAATGTGGTTTGGTTAGGGGACTGGTATATGTTTTGGTAAGGGGGCTTGTGTATGGTTTTGGTACGTATTTCGTAAGGGGGTTGGTTTATGGTTTGGTAAGGGCGTTGGTATTTGGTCTGGTAGGTTGTTGGTAAAGGGTTGGTATATCGTTTGGTAGATTGCTGGTAAGAGGGTTGGTATATGGTTTGGTAAGTAGTTGGTAGGGGGTTGGTTTATGGTCTGGTAAGTGTTGATAGATTTTCGCTGAGTTAGTTTGGTGTGTGGTAGGTGGGTGGTAGGCGGTTGGGTTAGGATGATGTTGGAGAAGGTTGTTAGGTAAATCTTTTGAAATTTGAGGTGTATGAGACAGATGTATGAGATAAAAGCTATAAAAGTTAGAAACACAACTACATACATTTATATAAAATAACAATATACAGTAACGTGAATAAGTAGTAGCAGTGAGCAAATAGGATTGTTCTAGAAGTATAATTTTTTTTTCATTTATGGCACAATGTAGAGTTGGGCATACTAATATAGTATGGTAAGTACATGTGTTAAACGTCACTAGACTGGACAGTGGAAAGGTCAAGTTTGACCCCGTGGTCTTCGAGATAACGGTGGAATTCTAAAACTTCGCTTTCTTCCTGGTTTAAAGCTTCAAGCGAGATAAACGGGGTCTCGTCAACGACGCCGTTTTCCTGGGGTAGGTTGTTTCCCATGAGCGGGGTCATGACGTTTTTGTGAATGTTGACTAGCTCTTCGTCGTCTTCATCTGCCGAGAGGGTATTGGCGAGGGCGTGGAGGTGGTCGCTATTGGGAGGGTAGTCGGCGGGAGGGTGGTCGACCTTGGGAGGGTCGTCGTCTGACTCGCCCAGCGTCAGTTCGCTGTTGTAGCTGTCGGTGCTGGTGAGAAAGGGAGGAAGTGTGAACGAGGAAGAGGCGGTGCTGGCAGTGGTTGAGCTGTAGCTATCCTCACGGGTCAATGACAAGGTCGAGGTCGTGCTGGGGTCAGATTTGCTGTAACACCATTTGGCGCCGTTGTTCGCATGCTGACTAGACGGGGAAATCCCGGTTTCCGGTAAGTTGTGCTTCGGTTTGTTCGGCGATTTCCGGGGTTCGGAATACGACGTGCTGATGCTGTTTTCAAAAGCTTCGATCCCTTCGAGAAAACTTAAATCCGACGAAGCGGACGGGGTGAGTAGTCTGGACGTTGACGTTTGCGGCGAGCGTGAGTTAAAATTTTTGTCCGTCAGCGTCTGGCAGTACTCAACGTGTTCTCGGTTCCGATGACCGGCGACACCGACATCCGGATGTTGATGGCTCCGGCGCCGGAAAGAATGATGGTCGGTGTAGTGCGCGAGCAAGGAAGATGATTCTTGAAGGTCGAGGTCGGGCAGTGAGCAAAGACCTCGGCGTTCGTAATGGGAGCGTGATACGAGCGGACACGAGTCTGAGAAATCGGACGGAATAAGCGGGTGGTCAGCGTGCTGGGGGGAGGAGAAGGGAGATTTCAGGTACGCCCGTGGGTACACGGGTGACGGGTATCTCAGCGCGCATGCGCTTTGAGGTTTTGAAGTTAAAGGTGCGATCGTGTCCTCCACCGCTACTGATCTCTCAAGTTTGTTTTTATTGTTAGAGACGCACCTTTTCCGTAAAGGTGGTAGTAGATTCATAGACAGGTCCTCGCTAGTTTGCACCTGTGCGTTTTTAGTCTTCGGGCAGGTGGAAACGCAAGTCGAAGACAAAGATTTTCTGAAATCTCGCGGCTTGCAGACTTTTACCCGCACGTTTAAAATCTCGTCTAGATCAATCTGCTCCACGGTGTGTATCCGGTGTTTTTCTCTCTCCGCCGGAGACCCCGGCCGAAGCGGTGCTTGTTTTTTGTTCCCGTGCATCGGGAAATCCCGCGCCAGATTCTGACGAATCGCTTCCACGTTCGCAGCGTCTTTGGGACAGAGCCGGTCTTTGTCGGGGTAGCTCAGGGAGGAGACGGGAGTTAACTCCGTCTTGGTGCTGTCGCTGGAGTTGTCCCTGTGGACGAGGGAGCTCTTGATGCCGCGGTGGTTGGGCAGAACCCCGTGGTTGGTGTACGGGGTTTCCCCGTCCGTCGGCCCTGATCTTTGCATTACGAATCTGAAAGAGCAGGGGAATCAGAGTTAAGATGAATTACAAATCTGAAAGTGTAGGGTGAATTTGAGTTAAGATGAATTACAAATCTGAAAGTGTAGGGTAAATTTGAGTTAAGATGAATTACAAAGACTTATTAATCCAAAAATTGTTCTAAATATTACTATGAACATATTTTGTTTATTAAAAATAAATATAAACAAAACTTAATATTATATGCTTCTTTAAAAATTCACGGGTTCTTTCAGATTCAATGTTTTGATTGGATTTGTTGTTCTTCAAAAATAAATTTTAAGGTTTTAATATCAATTTGGTACTACGCTAAAATTGGGAGTCAACTTCGGCTAAAACAATTAACCTTAGTAGTTGCATTATTATTGAAGTTTTCTTCCACCCCCTCCATATTATTAGTAATTGAAAGTATCCCCCCCTTCCCCCGCCCCTATACCAAGTAAGCAACGTTCACGAAATAGAAGCTACAAACGAACAGCAACACAACCAGTTCACAAATATCATAGCGATTAGGAAAAAAAATTGATAGGCATAGAGTATATTTAAAAGCAATGAACTCGGCTAATCAGCCTAATTTTAAATTATTTGTCAAAAATTGTAAAATTGGAAATACACGCCAAGATAAATTTTGAAATAAAAACCGTCTTCATCAGCGTTTTAATTATAGGCTTGGAGCGACCTTCACCTTAACCGTTTTTCATCCAGGGATTTTTGCTTCCAGTTCCGGCCATGACCTTTGTCAGACTTGAAGAGATTATCATAGGTGCTGCTCTCTCTGTTGATTAGAGAAGGGGTCGTTGGTTAGTCGGCTAGATGGTCATTGTGGTCGACTGAGTTGGTCATTGTGGTTGGATGAGTTGGTCATTGTGGCTAGCTGAGTTGGTCATTGTGGCTAGCTGAGTTGGTTAGTCGGCTAGTTGGTCATTGTGGCTAGCTGAGTTGGTTAGTCGGCTAGTTGGTCATTGTGGTCGACTGAGTTGGTCATTGTGGTTGGATGAGTTGGTCATAGTGGCTAGCTGAGTTGGTCATTGTGGCTAGCTGAGTTGGTTAGTCGGCTAGTTGGTCATTGTGGCTAGCTGAGTTGGTTAGTCGGCTAGTTGGTCATTGTGGCTAGCTGAGTTGGTCATTGTGGGTAGCTGAGTTGGTCATTGTGGCTAGCTGAGTTGGTTAGTCGGCTAGTTGGTCATTGTGGCTAGCTGAGTTGGTTAGTCGGCTAGTTGGTCATTGTGGCTAGCTGAGTTGGTTAGTCGGCTAGTTGGTCATTGTGGCTAGCTGAGTTGGTCATTGTGGGTAGCTGAGTTGGTCATCGTGGCTAGCTGAGTTGGTTAGTCGGCTAGTTGGTCATTGTGGCTAGCTGAGTTGGTTAGTCGGCTAGTTGGTCATTGTGGCTAGCTGAGTTGGGTAGTCGGATAGGTGAGTTGGTCATTGTCGCTAGCTGAGTTGGTTAGTCGGCTAGTTGGTCGTTGTGGCTAGCTGAGTTGATCATTGTGGTCGACTGAGTTGGTCATTGTGGCTAGCTGAGTTAGTCATTGTGGCTAGCTGAGTTGGTTAGTCCGCTAGGTGAGTTGGTCATTGTGGTTGGATAAGTTGGTTAGTCGGCTAGCTGAGTTGGTCATCGTGGGTACCTGAGTTGGTCATTTTAACTCTCGCTGTTGGTTAATGGTTAGTGTGGTTCGCACTTTTGCTCATTGTGGTTCGCGCTTTTGGTCATTGTGGCTCGCGCTTTTGGTCATTGTGGCTCGCGCTTTTGGTCATTGTGGCTCGCGCTTTTGGTCATTGTGGCTCGCGCTTTGGTCATTGTGGCTCGCGCTTTTGGTCATATAAAGCGCTGATACCAGAACTGATCATTTTATTACGCGATGCGAAATAAAAAAAAACATTTGTCTTTTGATTTGATGTACCTCTCTGACCCAGTAATTAATTATTCTAACGAGGCATGTTTCTCCTTTTTAATTATGAAATCTGATGAAAACAACATTTTAAGGAGTAGTCTTTTATAATAACTTAATTGGCGTTTTTGGGTTGGAACTGGTTGTATTGCTTTGTTAAGAAAAACTTCTTGATCCAGGTTCATTTTTACGTGGAGTTGGAGCCTATTTACTTTTCTCAATTGTCTTCTAACATTTGTTACAGAGGAAATTGTTAAGAGACTATTTTGATGGTCGAACAAATAATCTTTTGTTTACATACAAGATATGGGTAAAGGAGGAGTGGAGGGGAAATGAATGGAATATTTTGATCTACTTCAAAAGCAACAGGGGCTTGTGTATGCTTCATCTGAGTGCTGTAATAAAAATGGCCAGGGGATAGAGGACTAGTAGTGAGCAGCTCACAGCCTTTTGTCATGACTGGCACTGAAGAGTTTCAGATCTACTAGTAGCGGCCCGTAGCTCTTGCATGAGTAACGGGCAATGGAGCGTCTCAAATCGATTTCGTGTCAAACAGCCGCTGCTTAGCTTGCTGTATTTAAACAAAGGGAATCCAAACAAACATGTTTCAATATAAAAGTATAGAAGTAGATTTTTAACTTAAGGACAGGAGAGTTCACCTGTTTCAGTGACCTCGACATATGAAGGGATAGTGTGGCCAGCACTATGTATAGCTGTCTTTACTTTCCCTAACGTGAGTAAGGTACCAATCAGAGCTGATGGACGTTTTACGGCCTCGAGCCCAGGATCCGAACTCGAGACTTTCGGGTTAGCAGTCAAACGCTCTACAATACGACCATGCCCGTCCCAATGTTTCAATAAGATATACTCCAACACTTACAAAATGTGTAATCATTGGGACGATTTATTACTACCAGTATCGGTTTGAGGATCCCTGATTTTTAAACGCATTGAGTTTATTTATATTCGAGGTTATAAAAACTATAAAGCCAAAGACACCCAACTCGCAGTTTGTCACACTATACGATATTTAAACGTTTTCATAAACTCGGTTCGATGCTATCAAAACGCATTACTCTCCAAAAAAAAAACAAAAACACGACTTTAAATCAAAAGAAGGCAAGGCCACAAGAAATTCTGTGCTCTTAATGTATCGCTACGGCGAGTCGCCTTGAAATCGCTGGCCAGGGAAAAAAAAAATCTATTTAGGGTTTATTCATCCGTAACTTATCCGTTTTAAGAAACGTTATCTTAGAAAGAAGGGGTGGAGAGGAGAGTGGGTGTGTGTGTGAGGGCTTGTGTGGCATAATGCAGTAAAATTTAATCTACGCTGTTGGTGTTGATGCTTAGGTGAGAAAAAAAAAACCATCTACATCATGTGAAGCAGTAGTTCTTAACCTGGGTTCGACCGAACCGCAGGGTTCGGTGGGTCAATTTTAGGGATTCAGCGGAGGTTAAGACACACACCCTGACTCATTTGATTCAAGATGGGATTTTGTCAGTGCGGACGATTGAACTATCAAGAAGGGTTCGATGAATGCACGTATAAAACTGGTGGGGTTCGGTGCCTCCATAAAGAACCGAGATGTAATGCATTTATTGTATTGAAATTCCTCTAGGGTAGTTGAATAGTAGAGTATCGAATTCACAGATAAGACATTTTGTTCAATATTGTATAAAGAACACCGAGTTGTCGTCTATAAAGCACTAAGGTTGGACTGATTTAAAGACAACCCATGATCATTTTCAGCATTGGCATTTAAATCGTCAGAAGATGAAGTAGTTTTCAGCATCCAATTGTAGAGATGTTGTTACAACTCGCTTTCATTCACTTCAACAAATGCTACCAGTTTTAGTCCTATTTGGTCGGCCTGGTAGGGTCGGTAAAGCTCATGGTTGCTGAACCGAGTTCGAATCCCGGGAAATATGAGGCTCGATAGCCTAAATGGCGCATAACCAGTTGACACGTATACTTAATTGTGATGAAGGGAATACCTTTTAAAACTAAAATTAAGAACAAAGAAGAAGAAGTCTTATTAAGTCTTATTTGCAGTGGGTACTACACATTCTAAATATATCCTAGTACAATACACACAAAAAATTAACAAATAAATAATACACAAACACACGGGGTTAAACTCTAGAAACAACCCCGCCCGTTGACTTCTAGACTGTTCCATCCCGCCCTACCAATGACCCGTAACATATTTATACTATCCAATACCAACACAAGTTTTTATAGATCAGTGGATCTCATATTTAGTCACGTGATAAGACATGTCTTCATTGTCGATACAATGAAATCTAATGGCACAGAACTATAATCGTCGGTTAACCGTGTTTGACACATTACAAGTAGAGCATATAGGACTTAAATATAGAGGAATGATAGTAAAGCTACTTTGATAATCTCGTTCTAACAAATTGTTTTCGCAACTTAGAATCACGTTGCTGTAAATTAATAATACGCATATGGTTAAACTATTTGTAGTATTCACAGTGAAAGAACCTCCCCCCCCCCCCCCTAATATTTTTTCACCCACTCATAGTCCGGACCCCCCCCCCCCCCCCCCCACTCCATCAGACATCTCTGCTGGAGTCCACCCCACAGTCCTCAGCAAAGATGCTATTTATAGTTCTTCTCTGACGTTGTCTTGAAATGGAAAAATAAGCTAATCTATTTATATCATCGGAAATTCCCAGCTAGACGGATACAAACATAAAATAAATTTCATGTAAAACAGGAGAAGGTGCTAAGATAAAATATCAACCAATCGACCAATAGAATCTAAAACAGCTTTTCTTTTTGGATAAAACGCCCCAGACTTTCTTCGTATAAATAAGTGTCTTATAATCTCCACAATGTCTAAATGTTCCAGAGTAAGTTCCCTAAGATCCCCATCAAGTACCCTCATACGTTCCCTGTGTTACTAATTCCATTGTCTCCATGGTAAGCTATTATATCAGTCTTATCTTCAAGTTCCTACTAAGTTTCCTAATGTCAATCGCACCCCTCTAAGTTCCCACTAAGTTCCCTTGTGTCAGTCTCACTCCTCTAAGTTCCTACTAAGTTCCCTAGTATCAACTCCCCTGACGAGGGCTAGT